AGGTGATGAGGCAGAATCGTCCCACCAAAAGAAAGATAGAGCTACTGATAGGGGGATTCGGGATACCCTCGAAAAACCCCCCCCCCCCCCCCCCCCCCTCCTCTTGCCCCTCTAACGCTCCCAAGTTGTTGAAGCTCCAGAAGTGGTTCCCTGCGGGGGAGCTGCCGACCGTCTAGTCATGCACACGGTCTCGTGGGACGGGGGGGCGCGTAGAACCGGGGGGCTGCTTCCTCCTCCAGAAATCAAAAGCACGGCCGCAGGACACAGAGAGTGCGACTGCATCTTTGGCTGCGGCGCCATGCGCATTCTTTCCTCTGCAGTCCTTTCTTTCTTCAGAGAAAACAACACGTTTTGACGGGTTCTCCGGGGGGGGGGGGTTGCTCACTTCACACCTTCCATTCACAACTATTAGACTAAGAAGGCAAATTTGACAAACGTGTCTCTGGAGCCGTTTGTCCGATCCTTTTTTACCCCTTTCCCCTAATGAATCTCACCCCCCCGAAACTTGGATCCGACGCGTGCATGCTGTTCATGTTTATTCTTTCCTCCCGCTAGAATCTAATTGACCCAATTAATAGAAGGGGGGTGAAGCGGCGGTGCTGTAAGGCGACACCCGGCTTCGCTCCAAGCGCCGTCCTCTGGATGAAAGGCGCCACAAAGGAAAAGAAAGTGAGGCGACTTGCTTTCACTCTCTGCAGCCCAGCAGCTCTGCAGGGGGGGGGGGGGGGGGGGGGGGGGGGCCCGGGCCCCCAAAGGGGGAAAAAAAAAAAAAAAACCCACCGGGTTGGGGGGGGGGGGGGGGGCCAACGGTTTTTTGCCGGAAAAACCGGGGGCAAAAAAAAAAAAAAATTTTTTTTCCCAAATGGCCGGGTTTTCCCTGGGGGGGGGGTTTCTTTTTTTGGTCGGGTCCCCAAAGGGAACCCTTTTAGGGGAGAAGAAAAAACCCGGGGGGGGGGGGGGGGGGGGGGGGGGGATTTTCCCCCCGAAAAAAAAAAAAGGGGGAGGGTTTTTTTTTAAACCCCCCGGGGGGGAAAAAAAAAAAAGGGGG